ACAACAACTGATCAAAGATTTCCTAACTTAATATAGCCCAAAACTAATATCCACCACCAACGCTAAAACTTTAAACAATCCAATAACCAAAGAGGAACTTAATATAGTCCTAAAGCACGCAAAACCAGGAAAATGCCCAGGCCCGGATGGCTTACCTGCAATATATTATAAGACTTTTGCTGAAATACTTTTGGACCCTTTTCTTATGGCATTTAAAGACATCTGCAAAGCCTGCAACATTCCTTAGAAGCTCATATCTCAGTAATCCCTAAAAAAGACAGATTCTACTGTCAGGAATGGACTGGCCAGCAATAGTGGGACTCACCTGCCTTGTGAGCTGCAGTACCAGGGCTGGCCAGCGGGTGCTCCCAGCAATCAGAGACTCAACCTTGCAGCCAGTCAAACACCTGGAACTAAATTATACTGGTGTATTTAAGGGACATTCAGACCTGCAGACTCTGCCTTGGTGTTGTGTTTTTCCTGGGCCCTGTATCTTGTTCCTGCATCCTGCTCCTGTTCCTGTTCCTGTCTTGTTGCTGACCCAGCTTGATTCTGACCTCTGCTGACTTCTCCTGTTCTGATCCCTGGCTTGTGACCCCGACCATTCTCTGCCTGACCCCCTGTACCTACCTGCCTGTTAGTTGCTGTACCCTGCTCGTGACCTGACTATTCTCCGCTTGCTCCCCCTGTACCTACCTGCCCGATTGATATTGACCCAGCCTGCCTGACGAAGCTTGCACTGTATGTACTGTTATCTGTGGGTGGTTTGGTTTGGTTCGTTTGCACTGTGTTATGTTTTTAGTATTGCACTGCGTTTATGTTTGTATTGTTAGTGTTAATAAATTGTTTATAACTTATCTGAAGTCTGCATTTCCCTGCGTCAGTCACACACCTCTGGTCATACCCGGGAGCTCTGACATCTACTCTAGTCCCTAATTACAGACCCATTTAGCTTTTAAATGTGGATCTTAAGCTTTATGCAAAAATATTGCCAAATCCCCTGCTTTCATTCTTGCCCTCTCTCATATCGACGGACCAAGTTGGCTTCATACCAGAGAGGGAGGCCAGGGATAATATTCTGAAAGCCCTTAACATGCATCATTGGCTAACCTCCTCCACTCAACAAGGTTTTTTTCTGTCCCTTAATGCAGAGAAGGCATTCGATAGAGTGGCTTGGGATTACATGCAAGCAACTCTAAAAGCAATCGGCATAACCAACACCATGCTAAATTCTAACCTAGCTCTATATTCCAAGTTGTCGGCTCGTGTTCGAATTAATAGTCACCTGTCAGATGCCTTCTCCATATTGAATGGAACCAGACAGGGATGCCCTCTGTCTCCCTTTCTTTTTGTTCTTACCCTGGAACCTTTTTGCGATGAATAAGATCCATTGCCAACATCACAGGCGTCCATGTGGCAGGACACACACACAAAATTGCTGCATTCGCGGATGACGTCCTTTTATGTTTAACTGAACCTGAACAGACGATTACTAACTTATTGAAAGACTTTGCTCATTATAATACCATTTCCAACTTGCAAATTAACTTTTCGTAAATTACTGAATTCTTTCTTTATTGCATATAGAAGAGCTTGTACTAACTTCATCTGGTGCAAGAAACGCCCTAGAATAAGTTATGACCTCCTCACTCAACCTAAACTCAATGGGGGCATCGGAATGCCCGGTATTTATGAATATTACCTAGGGTGCCACTTGAGACACATAACAGATTGGAATCTACATGAGAAAACAAAGGCCTGGGTCAAATCGGAAGTTGCGGGGGCTCATACACCCCTACACATAGCCCCATGGCTACCTCGACCTCACTCCCTTCATGAATTTAAAGACCACCCTTTTGTTGGCTCATCCCTACACTGCTTCTATGCTTCTACACTGCTTCTATGTGCAAGACTTTTGCACTCTCCTCGTCCCCTGGACCTCTCACCCCTCTTCAACACAATCCCAATTTCTGCCCGGGTCTATCCCCCAACTTTCTGTCTCACTGCTAGCCATATAAACGCGTCTCTACGGAACATTTCTTCCACAAAAGCATACTACTGACATATAAATGGCTGAAACTTAAAACCAATCCTTTCCTTTTTGGACGTATTATGTATGTCCAATTGCGGCACTTCTTTCCCTACCCAATACTTTTAGTGTTTTGTCCAGACCTCACACACCATTCAAACTCATTTGCTCCAGATCAACACCACAACATCACCTAATCTCCATGATCTATTCCCTCCTTCACCTTGAAACGATACCGAAAACTAGTAAAACATGTCAACAATGGGAACAGCAACTGTCTTTCGATCTTACTGAGAACGACTGGGAACATGTCCTGTTCCATCTACACAAAGGATCTGTAAATGTGAATACACAAGAAAAAGGTCAGGTGCAATGCTTTGGCCAATCACAGCACTGTATGACATCATGACAGTATTTAAGAACTGTCATTGGGGCACAGCTGTCAGATGGCCAAGAGCCAGCGTTGTGAGCGAAGTGGGTTTTCTTTTTTTTCGGGTAGCAGCAGCGGGCATCGTGATTGACGTTGGATCTACTGCAGGGGACATTTTTTTACTTTTATTTTTAATAAAGGACTTGTCAAAGACTTTTTTTACACTACTTTATTTTGTGGTGAATGGGTAGCGGTACCATGTACCATTCACATAAGTGAGGCCGAGATCTGGGGGCCCCCTTGTTAAAGGGGGCATCCAGATTCCGATAAGCCCCCCCCACCCACAGAACCCCACAACCACTGGCCACAGTTGTTGGTAAGAGGCCCTTGTCCCCATCAACATGGGAACAAAGTGCTTTGGGGGGGAGCACCCCCTGTGTCAGGGCTCCCAGGTATGACCAGAGGTGTGTGACTGATGCAGGGAAACGCAGACTTCAGATATGTGATAAACAATACAATTTATTAACACTAACAATACAAACATAAACGCAGTGCAATACTAAAACATAACACAGTGCAAACAAACCAAACCAACCACCCACAGATAACAGTATATACAAGCAAGCGTCGTCAGGCAGGCCGGGTCAATATCAATTGGGCAGGTAGGTACAGGGGGAGCAAGCAGAGAATGGTCGGGGGTCACAGGCCAGGTTCAGCAGGTAGCAAGCAGCGTAGTACAGAGGGTCAAGCAGAGGGATGGTCAGGGTCACAAGTCAGGGATCAGGACAGGTAGCAGAGAATCAGACAGGAACAGAGAGCAGGAACAGGATACAGGGCCCAAGAGAAACACAACACCAAGGCAGAGTCTGTGGGTCTGGCCATCCCTTAAATACCCCAGCATCATCAGTTCCAGGTGTTAGCTGGCTGAAAGGTTGAGTCTCTGATTGCTGGGAGCACCCGCTGGCCAGCCCTGGTACTGCAGATCAAAAGGCAGGTGAGTCCCACCATTGCTGGCCAGTCCATTCCTAACAGTACCCCCCCCCCAAGGAGCGGCCTCAGGACGCTCCAAACAGTCCTAGCTGGGCAAAATGTTCCACCGCCCGGGTCTGGTAACTGGCGGGATATCAAAGACTGGCACACCGGGCAGGACTCCGGGCAGCGGCACACCGGGCTGGACTCCGGGCAGAGGCACACCGGGCAGAGGCACACCGGGCAGAGGCACACCGGGCAGAGAGGCACATCGGGCAGAGGCACACCGGGCAGAGGCACACCGGGCAGAGGCACACCGGGCAGAGGCACATCGGGCAGCACTCCGGGCAGAGGCACATCGGGCAGCACTCCGGGCAGAGGCACATCGGGCAGCACTCCGGGCAGAGGCACATCGGGCAGCACTCCGGGCAGAGGCACATCGGGGCAGGACTCCGGGCAGAGGCACATCGGTTTACCAGGCGAAGCAGCAGGCACCGGGCCCCCGGGCGGGGCGGCGGGGCGCCAGGGGCCCCCAGGCGGGGCGGGGGCGGGCGCCGGGCCCCCAGGCGGGGCGGCGGGCGCCGGGCCCCCAGGCGGGGCGACAGGCATCGGGCCCCCAGGCGGGGCGACAGGCATCGGGCCCCCAGGGGGGGCGACAGGCATCGGGCCCCCAGGCGGGGCGACAGGCATCGTGCCCCCAGGCGGGGCGACAGGCATCGTGCCCCCAGGCGGGGCGACAGGCATCGTGCCCCCAGGCGGGGCGACGGGCATCGTGCCCCCAGGCGGGGCGGCGGGCGCCGGACCCCCAGGCGGAGCGACAGGTCTCGGGCCCTCAGGCGGAGCGGCGGGCGCCGGACCCCCAGGCGGAGCGACAGGTCTCGGGCCCTCAGGCGGAGCGGCGGGCGCCGGACCCCCAGGCGGAGCGACAGGTCTCGGGCCCTCAGGCGGAGCGGCGGGCGCCGGACCCCCAGGCGGAGCGACAGGTCTCGGGCCCTCAGGCGAAGCGGCGGGCGCCGGACCCCCAGGCGGAGCGACAGGTCTCGGGCCCTCAGGCGGAGAGCGGCGGGCGCCGGACCCCCAGGCGGAGCGACAGGTCTCGGACCCTCAGGCGGAGCGGCGGGCGCCGGACCCCCAGATGGAGCGACAGGTCTCGGGCCCTCAGGCGGAGCGGGCGGGCGCCGGACCCCCAGGTGGAGCGACAGGTCTCGGGCCCTCAGGCGGAGCGGCGGGCGCCGGACCCCCAGGCGGCGGAGCGACAGGTCTCGGGCCCTCAGGCGGAGCGGCGGGCGCCGGACCCCCAGGAGGAGCGACAGGTCTCGGGCCCTCAAGCGGAGCGGCGGGCGCCGGACCCCCAGGCGGAGCGACAGGTATCGGACCCTCAGGCGGAGTGGCGGGTGCCGGACCCCCAGGCGGAACGACAGGTCTCAGGCCCCCAGGCGGGGCGGCGGGCACCGAGTCACCAGGCACAACCGTGGGCTCCGAGTCAACTGGGATGACCGCTGGCACTGGGTCAGACATTGGATCGTCTGGCTGGACAGCGGGCATCGGGTCACCAGGCATCAGGTCATTTGGCTCGACAGCGGGCACCGCGTCATCTGGCAAGGCAGTGGGCTCCGAGTCAACTGGTATGACCGCGGGCACTGGGTCAGACATTGGATCGTCTGGCTGGACAGCGGGCACTGGGTCACCAGGCATCAGGTCATTTGGCTTGACAGCGGGCACCGCGTCATCTGGCAAGGCAGTGGGCTCCGAGTCAACAGGCACGACAGTGAGCACCGGGTCATCAGGTACCGGATTGTCTGGCTCGACAGCGGGCACCGCGCGTCATCTGGCAAGGCAGTGGGCTCCGAGTCAACTGGTATGACCGCGGGCACTGGGTCAGACATTGGATCGTCTGGCTGGACAGCGGGCACTGGGTCACCAGGCATCAGGTCATTTGGCTTGACAGCGGGCACCGCGTCATCTGGCAAGGCAGTGGGCTCCGAGTCAACAGGCACGACAGTGAGCACCGGGTCATCAGGTACCGGATTGTCTGGCTCGACAGCGGGCACTGGGTCACCAGGTATGACAGCGGGCACTGGGTCACCAGGCATCAGGTCATTTGGCTCGACAGCGGGCACCGGATCAGGTACCGGATCATCTGGATCAACAGCGGGCATCGAGTCAACTGGCCTAATAGGATCGTCAGGCTGGATCAGTTCATCATGCTGGGTAGAGGCATCAGGCCGAGTAGAGGCTTCAGGCCGAGTAGAGGCTTCAGGCCGAGTAGAGGCTTCAGGCCGAGTAGAGGCATCAGGCCGAGTAGAGGCATCAGGCCGAGTAGAGGCATCAGCCGAGTAGAGGCATCAGGCCGAGTAGAGGCTTCAGGCCGAGTAGAGGCTTCAGGCCGAGTAGAGGCATCAGGCCGAGTAGAGGCTTCAGGCCGAGTAGAGGCATCAGGCTGAAGAGAGGCATCAGGCTGCGTACAGGCATCAGGCTGAAGAGAGGCATCAGGCTGCGTACCGGCATCAGGCTGAAGAGAGGCTTCAGGCTGAACCACGGAAGGCAGGCTCACCGGTTTGGATACTGGCAGGATGGTATTGGTTGGAAAGAATTTTCGCTTTTTTCTGGTTTTAACTACTGGAGCACTGCAAGTAAATGCAGGTCTGCAAACGAATGGAGCAGCTGGAGACAGAGAAGAACTGGAGGATGGAACAGGAGAGGGAGCGGTTGCTACAGAGGGCTCTTTTACAGGGTTAAAGGCAGGATAGGTGCAGCGAGTGGGAACAGGGTACTGACATGCGGTAGATAGCAGGGCAGGAGGAGCTGTTGGGAATGCAGGAATAGAGTTTTGAGGAAATAGATTAGAAGCAGGACTGGGTCTTTGTAAGCTGACTGAGGCTGGGTGCAACAAATCTGTCCATGTCTGCAGTATGGGTTGAACAAAGCTGAGCTTACACAAAGCCTGTCTGGTCAATGACTGTACTGCGTTTATACAATCCCTTAGTGTCTGTGGTGAACATGTGGAATAACGCTCCAGAAAGTAACCCACATCATCCTCTAATAACCACACCAGGGACTCTACCTGGTCTGCACTAAATGGTGGCAAAAAATTCATCCCTGCATTCGGGGGAACCAGATGAAACCAACTCAGCACAAACCTCAATCAAAGGCTGCACCTCAGAGAACTCTGTGCCCTGATCTACTAGAACATGAGCGAGCCGTATACATTCTAGCAGTTCATCCCGGGTATACTCCTTCAGAGTCTGATAAGCATACTCCCTGTCATCAAACACTAGCAGATATAAATATTCAACCTCATCCAGATCCATCCTTCCCATCAACAAGCCAAGATGGCTTCCCTGTGCAGCCACTTCTGGTCAGGATTGGCCTTGGTGTAATGTCAGGGCTCCCAGGTATGACCAGAGGTGTGTGACTGATGCAGGGAAACGCAGACTTCAGATATGTGATAAAACAATATAATTTATTAACACTAACAATACAAACAAACGCAGTGCAATACTAAAACATAACACAGTGCAAACAAACCAAACCAACCACCACAGATAACAGTATATACAAGCAAGCGTCGTCAGGCAGGCCGGGTCAATATCAATTGGGCAGGTAGGTACAGGGGGAGCAAGCAGAGAATGGTCGGGGTCACAGGCCAGGTTCAGCAGGTAGCAAGCAGCGTAGTACAGAGGGTCAAGCAGAGGGATGGTCAGGGTCACAAGCCAGGGATCAGGACAGGTAGCAGAGAATCAGACAGGAACAGAGAGCAGGAACAGGATACAGGGCCCAAGAGAAACACAACACCAAGGCAGAGTCTGTGGGTCTGGCCATCCTTAAAAACCCCAGCATCATCAGTTCCAGGTGTTAGCTGGCTGAAAGGTTGAGTCTCTGATTGCTGGGAGCACCCGCTGGCCAGCCCTGGTACTGCAGATCAAAAGGCAGGTGAGTCCCACCATTGCTGGCCAGTCCATTCCTAACACCCTGCCCCAAAGCACCCCCCATGTTGAGGGCATGTAGCCTGGTATGATTCAGGAGGGGGGAAACTTGCAAATCCCCCCTCCTTTCCTGACCTGCCGGGCTGCAAGCTCGGATGAGGGTCTGGTATGGATTTGGAGGGGGGACCCCCACACCATTTTTTAAAAATTTTGGCATAGGGGTTCCCCTCAAAATCCATACCAGACCCAAAGGACTTGGTATGGATGGGAGGGGCGACCCCACTGCATTTTTAAAAACATTTTTTTTAATTGTCAGGCAATGCTGACAATCCTTTTTACATTCAGCTGTCAGCGGGGAACCCCACTGACAGCTGAAACAATATTGAATGTTTCACTACTAAATTACTGCAGGACTTAATAATATAACTCAAGCAGTATTTTAGTAACCGAATGGTATCTTACCGCATACTCAGATGCGGTAAGATACCGTTCAGTAAATTGTTCATGTTCAAAGTACGTGGTTGAACATTCTGTAGGTTCGAATGTTCGACCGCAAACCGAACAGGGGTGTTTCACTCATCACTATCAATGAGTAAAAATGAGACCCACCAGCAAATACCAGAAAATAAAAATTTACAAAAAAGTTTTTTCTTTACAAACATGAAAAAAAATGAAACACCATAGACATTGATGATAATAGTATCAATGAGTTTCCTGTGGGGTGTCATACTAGAATATTCAAAAAGTTCCAACCAAAGAGGTTTAAGATACATCAAAAGCCTTGGAGAAATTCTATGGAAAATGTAGGGGGCCAGAAGAGGGCAATATCATTGGCCACAGAGGAGACCAGCAGCCCAACACGATTTCTGAGCGACATATAATATATGTAAACACCCACTGAACCAACTGTATCTTATCTAAATATATGGGCAGCACCTCAAAAAGCTACTTAATCCCCCATAGTGTTAAATGGGTATTATTACCATATAGAGATAAGACCAGTGAATAAACTATTTTCACATGGGAAAAATGGATTTCTTTTAAGGGACCAATTGTCTTCAATCCTCCCAAACTATATGAGGTCATATATGACTCACTCACTAGGGGGAAAAAAAAGAAGAAAAAAGGACAATCAATGGCAATGTTACCAACATAATACCAGTAACCATCCACATTCAAAACATCTTACCAATTGGGAACAACACATGGCTCACAGCTCGCTTTCATACAAGTATGCTGCAACCACTGACAGGTGTGGCCAAAGGAGCCCTTAAATAACCCCCCAACCCACAAGCGTAACCAACACCTGTGAGATGTGAATGTTACTGAGTGTCAATGCGCATACGTGAAGTCACCGCTCATGTGAAACCATGGCGCTACGATGCTGCATATTGATTTCACGTGTATGCCCAGGACAGAGCCCATGCCATCTTGGAACATCCACTTGCCCAACCCACAGTGCTAGAGAGGTGTCCCCACTCAAGCAACGTTGGACAACATGGCGAAAACCCCAAGGGAGCCCAATGGATAGGCGCAAGGAAGGTCCCAAACACAGGCACCATAAGAGCGCCACCCACAGGGAAGGGAGCTAAAAATCTCCACCCTATGAAGGGATGCCGTGAGCATTCGTGTGACCAGCTACCTACCCCCATATTTATCCGCCACATATGACCCAGAAGTCCTGACCAACAACATCAACAACAATGAAAAAATCAGGCAAATCCATTACACCGTAAACTGAGCCACTGGACCTAATCCTGACATAATAAGGGACCAAAGTATTCTGTCCCTGACAATGCATCTATGCCCCCAAATAAGACCAAATGACACCACACATGAACTCATGTACAAAGATAAAAAAATACAATATAAATCACATACTGTTTGCAAAACATCATGCAACAAAAACGTATAAATCACCTTTTTATTTACTAAGAACACAGCTATAAGAGGCCCACCAACGAATTCATATTCTCAATTATAGGAATGGTTTGAAACTTATGGTATCATTGAGTCTGGAATAGGGGCGGACTGACAACTCATGGGGGCCCCCGGGCAATAGGGGATCATGGAGCCCCTGCGTCCTTGCCCAAACTCAAAAAAGCCTATGAAAAAGGTACCAGGGGCATCTCATGGGGCCCCCTACTGACCCGGGGCCCTCGGGCAGTGCCCGAGTTTCCAAATGGTCAGTCCGCCCCTGGTCCAGAGGGTCTAGTGGCTGCTAGATTTTGAATCCATTGTGTTTCACTGTAGTAGAACTTTTTCCACATCTCCACCTCTCTCATGCCGAGGCACACAGTAAATTCAAGGGCAAAAAAATGCATTTTGGTTGCATCAAATGAGTGATACAAGCCCATGTGCCGACTAATTGGGGTCTCCAGTTTCTTTTTAGTAACTAGAGAAACATCGTCCCTAATTCTTTGAAATTGCGCTCTCCAAATGAAACTAAAGAAATTACACCTACATCATGGCGTTGTTCCATACCTTGATATATTGTTTTTTCTATTCTTTGTGTAATGATTATGAACTAACTGTAAAGATTGTAACTTTTTAAATGTTTTCTTAGGGTGGACACCAACTTATTTGGAAATGGTATCATCCGCCAAGAGCAGATACCAATACTTCTCCATGATATATCGGATTTATCTCTATTGCCCTAAATAGCGTGTAATTAATTTAACAATTTATTGTTCCAGGATCTTTTTTTGAGAATGGATCAAGTTCTCTATTTTTATCTTTTACTCTTTAACAAGCCTTTTTGAGACATGTTTTTCTATAACCCCTGGCAATGAGTCGTGTCTGTAAAGCTTAAGCTTCTCTTTCAGTCCTCCATTCTATTACAGTTTCTCTTGATACATAAGTATTGACTGTATGGGATGTTGGACACCAAGGGTGCTGGGTGCAAGCTAGTAGCGTGTAGGATGGTGTTCCCAGAGGAGGGCTTCCTTAACAAGGTAGACCCCAGACTTCCATCATAATTGACAAATACCTGAATGTCCAAAAAATTCTCTACATCCATTCAAAGTGCTGAATTTATAAATCTTTTCTAAAGTTCAGAAAAAAGGGGTGGAGGGAGAGCTGAGGTTGCACTCTGTGGAGCTGAGTGAGGATAGAGAGCCCTATGCTCGCCGCCATTCGCGGCCACAGCTGTCAATCGCCAGGCCCCGGTCGGTAATTACTCGCAAGCGCCCGGTGATTTCCAACGATCACCGATGGGGAGGAGGACTGTTTTGTTTACTAACAGTCCTCCTCCCTGTCAGCTCGGGCACACTGCTCTGGATGGCTGTGCACAGCACAGCCATCTAGAGCAGTGTAATTACAGTAAAACACACAGACACCGCCCTCTAGTAA